ATTTAATAAAATAATAAAAAAAAAATATTTAATTCAATGATTAGAAAAATTCCGTAGTTTTTAATATTTTTTTTTTTAAAGTTTAGTTTTTTATTTTAAAAAAATTATTCCGATATTAGCCTAATATAATATATATAGCAAATTGGAAAAACAGTTATCAATAAAAGTAAATAAAGTAAGTTTTGATTACATACAGTCTCTATAAATAACAGAATTGCATATATTATATTATCTTAATCATTAATTTTTGAAAAATTGTTTCACCAAAACAATTAATACGAGTCAACCAATATTACAAGCTTAGAAAATTAGTTTGAAATGGGAAAATTGGGTGTTGTAAGTATTAAAAAAACTTAAGTGGATTTGAAAATATATGTTACTTATCGAAAAATGCAAAAATACTTAAAAATAGTTAAAGTCATTGCGGAAAATTATATTTGTTTTGACTAATTTATTCGAGACTCGAAGATGTATTCAAACTTAAAAAATAGTTCAGTGAAGTAAGCTTCAAATTATGATAAAAAAAAGAGACAATTGTAAAAAAAAGATTTTTCTTAAGCTGGACAGTATCTTCCTTCGCTCAAATCGACTTAACCTAGTTTAATATATCAACAGAACTAGGTATTTTTATCCACCACTGTTCCACTGAATAAAATTACAATTTACGTGTACACAATTAAAAAGTGTTGATTTCTAAAATTTTTAGACAAAATTTCAAGCTCAAGGAATGTAATGATAATTAAGTTAATGATGCAGCGATGTTCGTGTATCTTAGCTGTTCATTTCCTTTTTATTCTCTCCTCAAAATCTAAAATCGATTTTTCAAAATCTCGTGCTTTGAGTATATGAGAGAGTGCTATAATTAACTAGAAGCCATACCCAGCAGATGAGTGTACCTTAATTGTCGAAGCGCTACGAAAATTACACAGACATAATTTTCACATAAAACCAGTAGCCCAAACAAGCTAACCAGCCAAACTAAAGAGAGATAATACAACAACTACTAACTAAATGCTAGCAGATGCCACTGCTAACGTCAACAAGCATGCAAAATTCTTACAAAGATACTTAGAGACAAAAAGTATATGGAAGATCTGCAACAAAGACGAATGTTGACAATGCGGCAGAGAAAGAGGGGATAACAAGAAACAAGTATGTGCGCGCTTATAGCAAGAAACCGTAAGATCGACAGTTGAATGGAAATCTGAAATGACCAGTTGCCAGAAGGCAAAGCAATACAACAACAAAAGCAACAAAAAGCAGTGGCAAGGCAGCGGCGACTCATTTCCGTTGCAATTGTTCTACAAATGAGAAGAAACAAACAGCTACAACAACAACACTAAGCAAACGATAACAGCGACAATCATTAGTGCGGTTGAAGAAGCGCTGCTATTGCAACAACAAATACAAAACAAACAGCAACTCACATTAAAGCGGTAGCAAATGTCACAGCAATGGCAGCCATTAATGCTAACAGCATCAGTTGACAATGTCAATGACCGTATTACGCAAGTGGCTTTCACAAAGGCACCAAACCAATACACTCACACAAAGTTGTGCATGAGAAAAACACGTGCAACGTAATAAGTACCGTGACTACTGTTGCTTGCTGCGGCTGGTATAAGTTTGCGGCAAGAGAAATTCTATATTTACAGCGTAAAAGTTTTTGCTTGCTCTTTATCATTCCATTTTTTATCTCGCTTTTTTCACTCGGCCACAGCCGCGCCGCAGCAACTCGAATTCAGTTACACCACAGAACGATTGCGGTTGTCGTGCTTTTGTACCAAACAAAAAAATAAACAACAAAAAAAAACATATTTATTCTAGCTATGCTTGTGTGTTCAAGTGGTTGCTGTTTGTCACATCTGTGCAGCTGTTTGAAAGAACAACAGCGAAAAGAAATGCCGCTGTGATTACGAACATTTTAAAATCGAACAGAGCAAATCATCAATGAAAATCACAAGCGATGGTTATTGTAGTGGTATGATGAGGGCGCGGTGTGCTTTTAGGGAAAATATTATCAACGGAATTGGTATGCATGTAAAAACAACAACTAGATAAATATATCTGTGAGATAATGGAGAAAAAATGTAATGGAAGTGTTGCTTTGAAGTCGAAGCGGTATTATTGCTGGCATGTTATATAAATATAATTAAAACAAATATATAAATATATAAGTAGAATGAATCAGTATTTATAAGTGACACAAACATTTACATAACGTGTTTAAAGCTATAAAACGGTGTTGCACACAGAGACACATATGAATTTACACTTTTTTTTTTTTACTTTTCTCACATTTTCTCATAACGTTTGTCGACTACTTAAATAATATTTATTCCTCATTAAATATTTTCATAATTTGATACAGAATTCCTATATTTTAATAGATGTAAAGCTTTTTGAAGAAACCCGTGTTTTTTGTACTAAATTTAGATGATTAACAGAACTATGGTAAAAATAGTATAAAGTACACGAAAATAACTCTACTCGTATTTCATGGAACATAACGGATATTGAAAAATATTTAAACGTATTCCACATCTTCTCATAAATAAATTATTGTCTCTATATATTATTTCGTTAATATAAGTTTATGCTGCATACTGCTTTTGAAAAAGTGACAAACAAATAATCACGCATTTTGAAAAGAAGATTCATAAAAAAGAAATTTCAGAAGGCTTTATATGGCAAAAATCGAACTTTTCTTAATTTATTTCAAATTATCAAAGAAAATCACTGATATAAGCTAATCTCTCTGGTGTTTAGCCATGCAAAAGGATTGAGAGTGTACAATATATAGCTTCATGAGACGCTGCACTTAACCTCAAAACTTGCCGGTAAGCTCTAATAGTGTCTACCAACTAGAATAGTGTTCAATTAGAGAGTATTCGGTATTTAAAAAAAAACTAATTTTGTTGTGATTTTCGACAATATTAGTTCACACTAAAACATGGCAAAAACCTTTTTTCCTTTTTTTGGAATATATTTCTGCAGTATTTTTAAACTCGACTACAAACTTTGGAGACCACAATGTTCCCGTATACCGAAGAAGAAAGCTTTCCGGTTCATATTTATAGTATAGGAAAATCAAAAAAACAATGAAGATATTGATTTGTTCTAATGACTGACATTGTGCGAAATTTGCATAAACTTCTCTTTAGCATTTTCTTATTTGTGCGTTTATTGATTTTCTTTGTTCTCAATTTTAAGATATGGAGTCTGAAATCTCAAAAATTATAAGATTATAAATCGAAACATTATATACTAATTGTATGTACTTGAAATATATAAATATCTAATAACAGTTGTTATATACGTTAGAGTAGTATATCATTCTTTGCAGATATGAGTATACTAAAGCTCTTAGATTTTTAGAAAAAGTGATGCACACACTTTGCTTCTGGATCAGATGATAGAGAAGAATAAATTTTTAGAATTATGCATTGTCACAGGCTATTAGGAAAGTGCTTACACAACTTTAAAAAAGAGTTTAAAATATTATATATCATTTCATGAATCATAATAATATTTGGGTTCTTGCAGAAGTAGTAGTAAATGCAAGTCAGAATAACATGCTAAAAATATAAAAAATATATAGGAGGTGCTGTGTATATAATAAAATTCTGCTTATAGCTGATTTAGTTATTCTCCGCTCTCTGAGATGTGCTCCCTTTTTAAAAAATTCAACATATAAAAGTAAGAAGACAGACATATATCTGGTTGCATTCTATGTAACACAGGAGCGGCAAATTTTCTTTCTATTCACTCTCTCTATCAACGTTTCACTTTTCAGGATTAACGAATTGAAGGCAGCTTATACAACCTTTGATATTGATATATGCATATTTAAGATATATTATAGAAATTTATTGAAAAAATTAAAATATAGAAGATTGTATCACTTACCAAACCAAATATACTTCTTTATGTCTCGTGGAACTTGATATATTGCTGTACTTTGCACTTTCACATTAATTGTTTTTATATTTATTTTTTCACTTAACACCTTCACATTTTCACTCATTCACTTATTTTTCCCATTGATACAGCGCTGGATATTTAAATCTGAAATTAAAAAAGTTAAGAACTTATTAGAGGAATCCATATAAACAATTATATATGTATGTATATAAATTTATTTAACTATTTCACAAACTTCAAGAGAACTCAAAATTTTTTTATAGTTAGTAAATATTTAAACTAAGTGCATGTAAAAAAAACTTATTTAAGCCTTAACAAAACGCCAAATATTAAACACAAATATTTTTTATACACTTCTTCCATTATAACTTTTATGACTTTTTCCATGTTTACCACTTAATGTATTATGACCAAAAACTGCACGTCTAAAACTATTAGTCAAGACCACCCTAACACACAAAAAGAACAGTTAAACAGCAATTATATAACAGCCGACTTTAAAAAGCCGCACGAAAATTTACAATACCAACAAAAAAAAAAAATTAACCAAACAAAAAGCAACTTCCATTTACAAGCCAAAACCTATTCGGCGCTAAAACCGCTCATAAATAACAGACAAAATATTCAAAGCAGCACAAAAACTTTCTTTTACACAACCAAATAGGGTGACACATTTTTGCCAAATGCATAAACAAAGGAAGAGTAGAAGCACATGACACACATGTATGCGGTATTCGAAAAAACAACAACAAAAGCAACTAATATTGTAAGCTGAATAAACTAAAATGAAAGAAAAGAAAACGAGCAATTCGAAATGTGACGAAAGGTGTGTTGACTAGACTAGGCAAATAGCCAAGAAGCGCAGAAGAAAGGTGGTATGTTTGTATAACTCTCGGTGTAACTTTTTATCTGCGTGCGTGTGTTCGCTGATGACTCAAGTGGTAGATGTTGCAAGGTGGCAGGCATCAGCCCGAGTGTTATAACACTTTTGATTTTCGATTTTCGAAGTGTGAAATTCCCGATGCGTCAGAGATTGTAATAAACACAAGCAAACAAGCATACAAATATACAATACTAACATACACACATATGTTAAGCATTAGCTTTGAAGCCATTAATTTACAAAAACAAAACAAAAAAATTGTAAGTCAATGAAATCCACTGGGACAAATGGCATTAAATGTGCATATAGACAATGTAATTTTTGTTGCTAATTTTACTCTTTATAAAATCATCAAACTCATAAGCCAAAATACATACATACAGACACACATGTGCCATCCTTCATTTACTTAATAATATTCATTCCATAAATACCTGCTCAACTGCACTTAAATGTCTGCAAATTCCATTTTCATGAGCAAACAAATTTACAGAATTTTATATGGCAGGCAACAATAATCAACAACAAAATACAAAAATATGCCCGGCATTGCTTTCGTGATTTCGCCACAAAACATGCCGCCGATTCGCATTAACGCCAATAACTTTCACCTACTCGCCGCTAACTCTAAGGCAGCAAGAGTTATATATGTATGTGTGTGAATGTAGCCTCTTAAACACATTAATGCTATAAATATATATATGTACGCTTATTGTCACGCCTTAATAAGACAAATTTGCGATGATTTTGGGCAGCTCTGACAAGAATTTTGTTGAAAATAAAAAAAAACCTAAAAAATATCTCAAATTTCACTGGTGTCAACTCGTACAGTGGCTTTGGTGGGCGTCAATTTATACTTTTACAAAGATAACTTGCAAGCGAAAGTAATCAATTCATTCTTAAGAAATAAGGTACAGTAAGCCAAAACTCTTGGTCTAAGTTTGAGTACATAGCAAAGCATAGCTTCGGCGTAATTTCTTCTAACTCGAGTAATTCGATTTTGGTGTTTCTTAAAATTTCGAATTTGGATAAAAAACTTTAAGCCCCTTTAAACACAACTGTTCCTTAAACCTACCCCTAAATGTTTATGAATATTCTTATTTATATGAGTTAATATTTTTAAATAAACTCGAGTTTAACTACAATTTTTGTGTTTAACATTAAACACTACTTAATAATCGTTTCAAGCATACT